ATAATCCATAAAATCTTTTTCTCCTTGGGGCCTTTCGTTAGTTTATCAGTTCATTAGTTAACAATCTCCAACGGTGAAAGCCTTCCTTATTTTCTGCTTTTACCCAGTGTTAAAGCCAAATCAGAAAAAGGGAGATATTTATTTATTTCTAGATATAATGTTAGCTGAATCCTATGAAATTATCACTTTTGTAGGTCTGAAAAAATTAAGAGTAGAAATTTCATATGGTCCAACCGGAAAATTTTAATAATGGCAGGATTATATCTTAAACCATTCTTGCAACTTATTTCGAATCATTCTATTCACTCAAAGTGTCCCGTCTGCAGTTTAATTTCTGTTTTTTGTTTTAAAGTACGTTATTTCATACTAAATTCTCTAGAGGAAAGGCCCAAATAATGTCAGTTCAATATACCCCCCAAATAAATCATTAAAGTTAATTTAATCGTATGGAAACATCTAGATTTCCTTCATTCGCCCACCTTTTAATTCGTTCAACAAATATTTACTGATATTTATTCCATGTTGACTCTGCTAAGTGCTGGGGTACAGCAAGACAGGGGCGTCTTTTTCCCCAGGGAACTTAGCCTCATTTTTTAAGTTGGAAGGTAAGCAATGTCCATGAGTGACTAACGTGATCATTTTGTTTCAACTAACAGGTCAAATGACTGGTTTAATTATTATTATTTTTTAACCAAATTGCCTGACTGTTGTTCAAATTGACTAACACCATCGCTTTAGAGTTAATAAGAACTAGCTTTTGCCCAAGCAGAGCTAAGAAATTTATTTTGAACTCTTTCTGGCATTTATTAAATCAATTAGCTGACTCATGGATAAATATGGCTCAGGAGAAAAAGGATTCCGGAAGTACACATTCGGGCAACTGTAATCCAAGAGAGTTCCCTCATGGTGCCTGGACCCTTCTAAATAAAACACAAGACACAGTGCTGGGTGACTTTAGGAAGTAAAAGTGTGTATCCAATAAAAATTAAATAATTTTTTAAAGAACGAAAGCAAAAACAAAAAGAATTTTTAAATAAAGACCACAGTGGTTATTCACCTAAGCCAGTGCTTCCCAGGACTATTTCTGGGGGGTGTTGGGCAGCTGCAGACATGGTCTCTGGGCAGCAAGTCTGAGAAGCGTCAAGGTAGGGAAATCGAGTAGCTCATTTGGATGAGCAGAGCCAGGCTGTCGGAGGTCAAGACAAACCGATGGTGAAAACACCATCAATGAAACACTTGTACTGCATCACTTCAAAGCTTGCCTCCAGTTCCCCTCCAAGCAGTTTTAGCAAAGATTTGGGGATCCAGGGGTTTGCATTTAGATGCCCACACACTG